TTATGAAAGTTATCTTGAATTAAAGTATTTATTACTTATTCTGTCCCATAGATTTGGCTTTCTGCTTTGGGACTCCCATTATGTTTGTGTTTGATCTTCTTTGCCTGTCTTTTGTATTTTAAAATCTCTTTTTCATTTCTTTTTGATTTAAAAATTTCTCCCCTTTTTATCTTCTCTTTCTTTTTAAAAAATGTTTATTTTTGAAAGAGAGAGAGAGAGAACACAAGAAGGGGAGGGGCAGAGAGAGAGGGAGAGAGAGAATCTCAAGCAGGCTCCATGCTGCCAGAGCAGAGCCTGACATGGGGCTTGAACCCATGAACTGTGAGATCATGACCTGAGCTGAAATCAAGTGTCAGACACTCAACCAACTGAGCCACCCATCTTTTAAAAAAAACTTTTAATGTTTATTTACTTGGAGAGAGAGAGAGGGAGAGAGAGAGAGAGAATGAGCAAGTGGGGAGAGGCAGAGAGGGGAGAGAAAAATATCAAGCAGGTTCCACACTGTCAGTGCAGAGCCTGATGCGAGGCTCCATCCCACAAACCGTGAGATCATGATCTGAGCTGAAATTGAGTCAGATGCTTAACCAAATGAGCCACCCAGGTGACCCTCATCTTCTCTTTCTTTTAAGGAACCTCTGTAGGCATTTGCCCTGTGTTTGTGCTTAGCCTTCATTTCAGGGAATTTTTTCTTTCATGTTTTATTCTTTCTTGAATTCTATAATTTTGTTTTTTAAGTCATCTTTTCTAGTCTCTTCATTTGCAGTTTTTCTAATTCTGATGTATGCTGTCCCTTCGTTGCTTCTATAACTCTTTTAATTTATTTTGGCACATTTTGATATATTAAGTTGCCATTTACATCTGCTTTGTAGGCTCATCTTTTTAGCATGCCTCCATGGATCATTATGCTGCTCCTTATTATCTTTTTTTCTTATAACAATTCTGTATGGGATATGACTTCAACATGTTTTATTATCCATGGTAAAGCAAAATGAATTTTCCCGTACTTTTAGGCTGGAAGGCAGGTCAAAATAGCTTTTATTACTTCATAGCTCTTGAATTCCTTCTGCTGTTTTCACAAAATGATTGGAAAAATATATGTGGTCTCCTACTTATTGACAATTGTTTTCTCTTTCTTTTGCCTCTGTGGTTCCTGTCCTGTTCAATTTGCTTCTACTACAGTAGCCTCTCATCAGGGCAGGGCTCTCTGCCCTGGAGGAGGGTGTTGGTTTATTCATTTTGAGAGTTCTAGGACCCAGAACTCTTTAGCACCATGTCTTCTCTTGGTTACCTTTCACTCACCCATAAGCTGGAGACTGCCTAACACAATCTGTAACACTCATCTGAGTGAGGCTTTTCACATTGATCTCTTCCCTCTGAGACCCTGTGGGGGATGTGGAAGTTCTTCAGACCCATTGCCTCCCCTTTCCTTCCTCCCATATGATGGCTGATAACCCAAGTTCTGATGTGTAGTATTTTCACTGCACTTGGTTTGAAACACTTTCTAATCTCTGTTGTAATGTCTTCTTTGTTCTGTGAGCTGTTTAATAGTGTTTTTCTTGGTTTCCAAATATGTGGGGATTTTCTAAGTCATTTGTATGATTTCAGTTCTTTGAAACTTGTGAGGCTTGCTTTAAGGTCCAGAATATGATCTGTTTATATAAATATTCTATGTGTTCTTGAACGTGTATTCAACTGCATGATTTCTGAGTACATCACTTTGTATGTGTCAGTTCAGTCATTTTATTACAGTGGTGTCATTCAAATCATCTACAGCCTTACAGATTTTTATCCTACTTATTCTATAAGTTTCTGACCTGCCTCCCAGCCTAAAAGTTTCTACCATGTATATTTGTCTCTTTGTTTTTGTTCTGCCAATTTTTGCTTTGCATTTTTTTTTTCAACGTTTATTTATTTTTGGGACAGAGAGAGACAGAGCATGAACAGGGGAGGGGCAGAGAGAGAGGGAGACACAGAATCAGAAACAGGCTCCAGGATCCGAGCCATCAGCCCAGAGCCCGACGCGGGGCTCGAACTCACGGACCGCGAGATCGTGACCTGGCTGAAGTCGGACGCTTAACCGACTGCGCCACCCAGGCGCCCCATTTGCATTTTTAAACTAAGTGTACATGCATTCAGATTCTTATGTCTTCATGTTGAATTGAGATTTATAATAATAATGTATCCCTATTATCTCAAATAATATCTGTCTTCTTAAAATCTACTTTGTCTGAAATGAATATAGTTATAAATGTTAGTTAGCATTTGCATGATTTTTTTTATTGTTTTATCCCGATGTGTTTTAATCTATTTTCTATATGTTCTATAGTTTTCCCCCTCTGTACTTAGATTTGGATATTTTGGGTTTTTTTTTAATATTTTTTTTAACATTTATTTATTTTTGAGACAGAGAGAGACAGAGCATGAACGGGGGAGGGTCAGAGAGAGGGAGACAAAGAATCTGAAACAGGCTCCAGGCTCTGAGCTGTCAGCACAGAGCCCGACGTGGGGCTCGAACTCACGGACCGTGAGATCATGACCTGAGCCAAAGTTGGCCGCTTAACCGACTGAGCCACCCAGGCGCCCCAGATTTGGATATTTTGTATTGAATTAATCTTTTTTTAAAAATTTGTGTCCAACCTGTTGCTAATTTACTATTAGCATTGAGCTCCTAATTCCATGTATTATAGTTGCCAGTTCTCTGGTGAAATTCTTAATCTTGTTTTTTATACCCTTCAATGTACTGTGGTCTGACAGTTTCAAAATCTGGAGATCCCATGGGTCTTTCTTCATTGTGCTTTATCTTGGGCTTTGTTTATGCTGTCTTACTGCCTTGTTTGCTTGGCTATTTTAAATTTAGCATTTGGGGAATGTGTTAAAAATTATTAAAAATAATTTTTAGAAATAATCTAAGGCCCAGGATATCATCTTAATCCAGTTTGATTAACAGTAAGGACTTGAAGCTTGGGCCACTGGGCTCATCAAGGCTGACCCATTTCTCGTTTTACTTCCAGAGCAAGGACCCATCTCCAAGTGTGATTCACCAGCATACCCAACCCCCAGCCACAGTAGGGTGTCAAAAGCATTGTGTGGCTTCTTGGCCACTTCTTCCAGGACCAGCAAACATCTTTCTCTCTCTAGGCTCCTCTTTCTCTAGGCCTGTATTTCTTCCCAGCTTGTGATGTCTTTAAGCAGATGTTTTCTATTTGTCTGGATTTTCTAGTGGTCTGTAGGGAGTTTGGTCTGAATTATTTAGTTTCCTGTTGTGGGGATGTCTGAGTTACATTTTGACAGGTAATTTTGTTAAATATGTAAGGGTGGGGGGGAGGCAGAGGCAGGGGACCAAGTAAGAGATGTCACAATAGCCCAGGTGAGAGATGCTGGTAGCTTGGATCTGGGGATGAAAGAAAGTGAACAATCATGAAGGACTCTAGCATTCATGGCCAGCACAAAGGTGTGAATGGTTGTGTCCTTTCGAAGATAGTGAAGGTAGGAAGGGAGCCATTTGGCGGGACAAGAGGTGGTAGGAAAATTCAGTTTAGGTCATGTTAAGAGTGAAATGCCTCAAAGAAAAACTTAAGAAACAAACAAAACAAACAAAAAAGTGTGAAATGCCTCTTAGACACCCAGAGGAGGTATCTTGTGGATGACTGTGGATGTGACTGGAGTTTAGGGGAGAGGACTGAGCTGGAGATAAAATTTAAGCATCATCAGGGTGGAGGTTGCGATTTAAGCTCTGAGCCTAGATCAGCTCATCTGGGAGGAGATATAGTGCACAAGGATGGAGGACTGAGCCTGATGCCTTCAGCAATGTGAGGTCAGGGAGGTGGGGGGAAAACCAGAGCATGGTGGTGATGGTGGTGGTGGTGGGAAGGTGTCTTCTGGAAGGTGGGTATAGAAAGCACGTCCAGAGTCAGGAAGCAATGAGTCAGGTGAGATGAGGCTTTTATAATGGGAATTTAAAAAAAAAAAAAAAAAAAAAAAAAAAAAAGATTTTACAGTTTGTCTTTTGTTTTTGCTTATGGTGTTTTCTTCTTACTAAGCGTTTGTGTTTCTCTGTGTCTGGATGTGACTGTATTTTATGTGTCCCTTTCCCATTCCAAGATTGCAGATGTCCATGTGGTAGCCATGTGTGCCCATGTGTGAGCCCAGAGAAAGGACTCAGAGAAGGGTGTGAGCCCAGAGTGGAGTGGTCAGGCTGAGATGCCTGAGCTGAGGGAGGGTGCTGGGGTCAGAGGTCCAATGTGGTGGAGGAGGCGAACCAGGTCAACTCCCTCTTTGGGCCTTGGTTTCCCCATCTGTAACTGGTTTAAATGCTTGCTTCCTTGAAGTACTGGAGAGGATTCCTGGGTGTTCAGGAAGAGGCAGCCCCCAGTGAACTATACAGGGCTGTACCCTAAGGACAAGGTCATTTCCTTGACACAGGCCAGTCTGACCAGCACCTTGGAGCTTAAGGGCCCACCCCTGGGTGGCCATGGACAGATGTGGAGACTAAGGCCAGAGAGCATTCCCATAGACACTGGGGCCCTAGGAGGGGGCTGGGGAACCCAAGTCCCTGGTGGCAGGGCAAGAACCTGGGGTCACCTGAAAAAGTTCAGTCTTAAAGGGGTTGGGGCCTATGTGACCCCAGCGAGATGGGGAGGGGGGGCTGCCCAGGCTGGGCTCCTGGACTGCTGGGAGGGACTGGAGGTCTGGCTCAGGCAAATGAGCCAGGGCTGCTGGAAGGGCCTAGGGAATCATGACAGCAAAATCTTCTTACAAACTGAGAAGTTCCTTATATATGTCAAGGGGCATTGTAAATGGTATGACAATTTGCCATCTGTAGAGGGCTGTGGACCTGTGAGCAGCTGGACTTGAGGGGGCAGCTGACCTAACCCAGGGTTTGGTGGCAGCAGAAGGTCACCTACCTGTCACCATTCCCTAATAAATGCCAACCGAGTAAGCCCATGTTGGGAGGCTGGGGCAGGGGAGCCAGGCCTCTTACTGTATGCCGTGTCCCCCAGAGCCATCCTCCAGCAACATGGCTCACCTGTGGATGCCGCCATTGCGGCTCTGGTCTGCACCGGAGTCGTCAACCCTCAGAGCATGGGGTTGGGCGGAGGGGTCATCTTCACCATCTATAACGCCACCACAGGTGAGTCCGCATGGGGAACCCCGTGGGGAGGATGGGCTTGTCCACAAGTGCTAACAGTGAGGTGCTTATAAACATCCCCAGCGTTTGCTGAGCTGTCCTGCCCACCCATGCCCCTTCTTGGGTCCTCTTGGTGCCCCTGCCCTTCCCCCCAGCTTGTCTTTGTGAAGACTTCACGGCCATCTCAAATCTTAGCACTGTCAAGGAGGAGGAATTTCCTTTGCCCTTCAAGGTCCTTCTGGCCGGATTAAGAATTAAATTGACCTGAGAGAAATTAATAGGACAAAATCAAATTTAATTTCTGGGGAATCCACACAGACACGGAAATTCCAAAGACAGGCAAAAAGAGCTAAGGAGAAGGGGTAAGGGTCTGGGACTTCAAAAGGAAGGAGTGCAATTCACAGGAAGATAAAGAAGCGTAAATATTTGCTAAACAAATGTGTGTGGGGAGGGGGGAGGTCCTGGGAAACAATGAGACACAGAAGACTTTGACCAAACAGGCCTTGCAAGGTCCAGTCTACCTACCCTACCTCATTCATATCCTAATATAGTTGTCTGTGGTGATAGCTGTCCTCCTGGAGCCGGTCCTCTGTGTAAATTCTTTCAGGCAGTAGTGGAGGGGGTGGGGGAGGTAAAAAGCTTTTCCTGATTCTGCTGGGTTTTAATTTGCTTTTAACTCACAAATAATCTTCATGCCAAAGTGGCCCATCTTTGGGAAGCCTGCTCTTGGCCCCTATAGCACAGAGGCTAGTTCATGGTACAAAGAGAGAAAGTGAGGCCTAGAGTAGGGCCAGGGCTGTGGCAGGGCGGGGGGCTGGGGGGGTGGTTTGTGTGGGATGAGGCCTGGCAGCTACAGGAGTGCCCCTGAGCACTCACATGCTCTGCCCCAACTCTAGGGAAGGTGGAAGTCATCAATGCCAGGGAGACGGTGCCTGCCAGCTATGTCCCCGGTCTGCTGGACCAGTGTGAGCAGGCCCAGCCACTGGGCACAGGTGAAGCCCTTGGAGGGACCACAGGCTCCCACCCCATCAGGCCACTGGGCTGACCAAAACACTCCCCTGAAGGGGCGTCTTGGACAGGCTTTGACACCCTGGTACCAGGAGATAGCAGCTAGCTATGGAGGTCCTGACCTGCCCCCATGGAGGTCCTGACCTGCTGGAGTTGGGGGAGGGGCTCTCTGAGTAGGGGGTGGTGATCTAAGCATAGGAACCAGCCTAGCAAAGGCTTGGAGGGTTCAGTGGAGGTGGGGTGGTGGGTGGGGTGGGGGTTCCTGGAGCCAGTTTGTGCTGGGCCCTGAGGGAAGGCAGTGGGGAGCCATGGGGGTTTGAGCAGAGAGGGTCATGGTCAGGGGTGGGCTCCAGAAAGCTCATTCTGGCTGCCACGCCAAGAGGGCCAAGCTGGAGGGGCAAGGGTGGGGGTGGTGGAGAACCCCTGGGGCAGGCTACAGGGCTGAGGCCAAGGTGGGGGCAGCCTGGGGGCAGGGACACGATGCCACTTGCCTCCTAGGGGCCCAGTGGATTGGAGTGCCCGGGGAACTCCGTGGCTATGCTGAGGCCCACCGTCGCCACGGCCACCTGCCATGGGCACAGCTGTTCCGGCCCACCATCTCCCTGCTCCGAGGGGACTACCGCATGCCCTTTACCCTCAGTCAGTTCCTGCAGAGTGACTTCCTACGGCCTTCCCTGTACATGACTTCTCTGAGGTGAGCACTTCCCCAGGGAGCCCCAGGGCTCCTGCTCATCTCCTGGGTTCAGGCTCTGGCCTGTCTTTGCCTGGCTCCTACCCCGGTTCTACCTCAGAGCCTCCTCAAACTGGAGGGTTGACCCTATGGTGGTATTGGGGGCCTGAAGGCCAGGAAGGCCAGTACTTGGCGGTTTCAGACTTTCAGGCTCCATGTGGCAGAACCTAATCCGAGTGGCTCAGGCCATATCCACGTGATGGGACTCCAGGGTGTGGATTTGGGCTCTGCCACCGTCCTCTGGCCCCTCTGGGCTGGCAGGAGGGCTTTGGCCACCCCCCTTGCCCACCCTGCCAGTCCGCTGACCATGTCTTCCCAGGGGTGTCCCAGGCCCTGCTAGGGCGCATACACTCCTTAGGCCAGGGTGACGGGTGAGGTGAGAGGCCTCAGCCCCACCCAGTCTTAAAGAAACCATCTCCCCTGATGTCTACACCAGGCCCTCGGACCCTAGACCAGGACTGCCTCCCTGTAGGGTCTCAAAGAACCCACAGGAGCCCCCACAGGAGTGTGGCTGCCTTCCAGGACCCGGCCCCACCCTGAGTCTGCCCCCAATTCCCCAGGCAGCTCTTTTTCAATGGGACAGAACCTCTGAAGGCTCAGGACCCGTTCCCATGGCCCGCGTTGGCTGCCACCCTGGAAACTGTGGCCACAGAAGGTGCAGAGGTCTTCTACACAGGGACGCTGGGCCGGACGCTGCTGGAGGACATTGCCAATCAAGGTCAGCTGTGCTGAGTTCCCAGAGCCCACAGCTCTGCCTGAGAAGGAGCTGGCTCTGGATGCTAGGAGTGAAGGCAGGCCCTTCCCTAATCCTTGCCGGAGTGTGGACCGCTCCCAGGACTTGCAGAGGCCATGTATCCAGGCCTGCCCGCTGCTGGCCTCCAGGACCCCGTGGTCAGAGTCCTTGAGGAGCAGAGCTCCCAGAAATTAGGGCCAACAGAGGGGAGTTAGTGGTGGCCACAGTGGGCTCCTGGGCCTGGAGCTGTCCACCACCTTCACAGTCTGTCTCTCTCACCTTCCCCTCTTCTTCCCACCAACCTGCCTGCCTTCGGCCTCTGTCCACCCATCCCTTGCCTGGCTCTAGGGCCCAGCCCTGACGCCGCTGCCCACAGACCTTCCATCACCCCTAGGGCTCTAGAAGCCTAGGGGATGGGGGAAGCCCCACCATGTGACCTGGGATCCGTGGCTGTCAGTCTGCCTCAGTTTTCCCGTCTGCACATGGGGTCTTTTCTGTCTCATCTCAGGTAGCCAGCTGACCCTGCAGGACCTGGCAGAGTTCCAGCCGGAGGTAGTGGATGCCCTGGCAGTGCCCCTGGAGGACTACACCCTATACTCACCGCCACCACCCGCAGGGGGTGCGATTCTCAGCTTCATCCTCAACGTGCTCAAAGGTAAGAAAGACTCTCAGCCCTCCCACCCAGAGTCCTGCCCCCATTGGGAACTCCAAGCCCAGCGGTAGCTCTGGGCAGCCTTCCTTTGCCAGCTCAGCCTCCTCCTCAGACACCAAAGATGGGGCTGCGGAAACAGGCAAGATGCCGTGCTCTAGAGCCTCTGGAGCAGTCCACACTCGGGGCTTTGCTGAAGGGTCTGACACCATCCACCCAGTGAGTCCTCCCCAGCAGGCGATCTGGTCCCGGGGCACAGGAGCAGGTGGGCGGTGCAGGTGGTGAGCTGCCTGGCCCGTGTGTGCATCCAGGGCTGAGGCCTGGACTGTGAGATGGTGAAAGGGGGTCCTCGCAGTGTCCAGGGTTGGAGCTGCCCGAGGCTGACTATCTCAGTTCCCTTGGCTGCCATAACAGATTACCGCAAACTTGTGGCTTAAAGCAACAGAAATCCACTCTCTCATAGTTCTGGAGGCCAGACGTCCAAAATCAAGGTGTCAGCTGAGCCATGGCTCCTCTGGGGACTCTGAGAGACAATCTGTTCTTTGTCTCCTCCAGCCTTTGGTGGCTGCCAGCACTCCCAGGCTGCGGCGACATCTTCCCAGTCTCTGCCTCCCGCTCACAGGGCCTCCTCCTCTTCTCTGTGTCTGTTTTATAAGATTACGTTTAATTGTGTGATTACATTTAGAGCTCACCCGGATAATCCAGGATAATCTGCTCTTTTCAAGATCCTTAACTTAATCACACATTTTGCCATATAAGGTAAAATTCACTCTTTTGCCATATAAGGTACTATTCACAGGTTCTGGGGATCAGGACATGGACAAATCTTTTTTGAGGGGGGCCCAACATTCCACCCGCTACACGGGGTCATCCATATCTGCACCCCTCCCCTTCCCAGGGTTCAACTTCTCCTCTGAATCGGTGGCCAGGCCCGAGGGGAGCGTGAACTTGTACCATCACCTTGTGGAGACGCTCAAATTTGCCAGGGGACAGAGGTGGCGACTGTGGGACCCTCGTAGCCACCCGGATATCCAGGTGAGATGGCCTGTGGCTGGTGGAGAGCCCCCGTCCCAGCCCCAGGGCTCAGCGTGAAGGGAAGGCCAGGCTGTTCCTGGATCCCAAGAGTCTGGCTGGGTGAGATTGGAGGGCGATGTATGAGGTTTTAGGACAGGACAGCCTGGCAGTGGCCCAGGGCAGGGAGGGTGAGGAGGTCTGCGGACTAGAAGGGGCCCAGAGTGGCAGGTGTGAGAGAGGCAGTGATGGCTCCATATCTCAGAGGGCCCGGAGGATGAGCAGCGTCTGGTGGTAGCCTGGGCTCAAGGGGGGTGCATGGGAGAGGGCCTCCAAAGGAGACCCTCTTCTCTGTGGGCCTACCTGGCACCTTACTGTTCCTACCATCTGCCCGGCCACCCCAGAACGCCTCCCAGGACCTGCTGGGAGAGGCTTTGGCCCAGCACATCCAGCAGCAGATCGACGCTCGGGGTGACCACCATCTCAGCCACTACAGCCTGGCCGGGGCCTGGGGCCACGGGATGGGCACGGCGCACGTTTCTGTGCTGGGGGAGGATGGCAGTGCTGTGGCAGCCACGAGCACCATCAACACGCCGTATGTTCCTGCCTGTTCCCAGGCCCTGCTCCTTTGCTCCCTCAGCTTGTTTTACGGGCCCCCTAGTCTCCCCTTGCTTGCGTCCATGGGGCAGTACCTTGCTTTTCCCTTTGCTTCTTCTCTGTCAGAGGGGCCACACACCTCTGTCATTTCTGGCTGAAAGGCTGCAGATGGGTGGCCCTGAACCACGACCCGCTTGGGAATGAGCTTTACCCAGAAGGATGCCCTAACTGGGGGGCACAGGTGGATTCTTGGGGGGCAGTGCCAGGGAGAGAATGGCAGCTCCAGCATGCTAGAAGGCTGCCACTAAAATGAGGGACTCCTGGAAAGCGGTGCTCGACAGCTTTGCTGGTGTGGGAGACTGGAGCCCACAGCCCGAGCCCAGGCTCTGCCTCTGTCTGCAGCTTTGGAGCAATGCTGTACTCGCCACGCACGGGCATCCTCCTCAACAATGAGCTTCTGGACCTATGCTGGAGGCGCTCCCCGGACTCCAGAGTCACCCCACTACCTGGTGAGACTGAGGACCCCACTGGCAAGAAAAAGGAAGGCAGGCAGGCTGGGCAATGCAGTTTGGCCCCTGGGCCAGCCCCGCTGCCTCGCCCAGCCCCTGTTTGCACAGCGGTGAATGGAGACAGAAATGGAGGGGTGGTCTGGAGGGTGCTGGCTGGAGGTGCGGCTGCGGGTGACACCCATCTGGCCTCTAGTTCCAGGCGAGCGACCTCCATCATCCATGGTCCCCTCCATCTTGATCAATGCAGCTCAGGGGTCAAAGCTGGTGATCGGTGGGGCTGGTGGGGAGCTCATCATCCCTGCTGTGGCTCAGGTGAGTCGGGGAACTCCTGGCTGGAACATCCCCCCTCCCAGGGACAGGGAGGGGTTGGTGTAGGGTGGCTGGTGTCCTCCCTTCCTGTGTTCTTCTTCCCTCCCCCAGGCCATCATAAACAAGCTATGGCTTGGCTTTGACCTGAGGACTGCCATTGAAGCCCCTATCCTGCATGTCAACAGCGAGGGCCATGTGGAATATGAGCCCAACTTCAGCCGGGTAAGGCCACTGTCCCTGACACTGCTAGGACAGATGCCTCAGTGCATGCTGCTCAAAGCCCCTGGTAGGATCTCAGTCGCTGAGTGTCTTAGGATGGGTACACTTCCACTTCCGGGGCCATCGCAGGTTCAGAAGCTCAGTGGGGGAGGCACCAGGCCAGTCTTGTGGCCCCCAAGTCAGAAAATAGGGTTTTGTCCATACTTCTCCCAGGCCAAGTACCTCTGCACCTTGGTTCCTGCTCTATTCTGTTCTCTCCAGAAGCTAGTTTTCCTGGCTGTGGTCTCTCAGACTCCCTCATGGTGATCTGTTTCCTTGTGTGATTTATAGCTTTCATGTGTGAGTTTATTTGTAAGGGTATCATTCCTGTGACAGTCTGCATAGGGATTTCTTTCTGGGGCATGGGGGTCGCACTGGTGCTGGTTCCTATGGATGTTTCTTGGTTTCCCCCACACAAGCAGGTGCTCAGAGCTAAATTCTGTTGTCCAACTCCCTGCCCCCACTCCTCTGCCCCAACCTTCCTCAGAGTTTTGCTGGGCTGGCAGAAGCCTTCCCTTCACTAAGATCTCATTTAAAAGTCTGGCAGCTTTTCAAGCCTCCAAGTTTCATGCCTGGGGTCAGTTCAGCCAGCTGGGGTTAAAGGTCCTCAAAGCTGCCATTTCTGCTGTGAGCTGCCTCCCGTGGCCCTTAGAACACTGAGGACCATAGACAGAGGAACATTTACTCCAAGGGAATATATAGTCCCTGAGGACCTTGGTCTTGGGGGCTGGAGACTGAGGACTCTCAGAGTCTGAGGAGCTCCCTCCCTGTATAGGGTCCTCCCCATGGCAGAAGGACAGTGAGTATGCCCTCAGGGCTCATCTTCTTGGGCCCTCCTCTTTGACTCTTAACTGAGGTTTTCACTCTGTGAACATCAACTCCCTGAGGACCTTGTGCTCTGAGATCTCAGAGAATCCAGCAACCCATAGGCCAAGATCCTCAGCTCTCTTGGAGAGGTTGAGTGTTGGCTATACATCCAGGGCCTTCTATGGAGAAAATCCTAGACCCTGGGTGGAAACCTTGAGTCTCCAAGGGTTATCATAGCCAAGGCCAGGGACTAAAGGCCAGAAGGGTCCTCCTTCCTGAGGGCCTTGGAGTTTGGCCACTAGATGCTAAGGAACAGAGTCCCTGATGACCACAGGTCCTGTTGTGGCCTCAGCTATGAGGACCTCAGCCTTCAAATCTAAGGACCTTGGGCAATTGGTGCATCAGGCAGAGAAACATAACCCAAGGACATGGTGCTCTGGAGACCTCGCCCTACCACTGTGACATCAGGTTGGAGGCCCCAGTCTTGGGGACTGTAGAACATCAAGGTCTTTGTAAATAGAAGTGACTGGCACCTAGGGTCAGTGGGCTAAGGTCCTTAGTCTGTTGGTCCAAAATGTTAAGTGGAAATGTGGGGCCTGAGTAGCACAGGCCTCTACACTCCAGGATCTGTGTAAAAGTTACAGACTGGTAAATGTGTAAGCGCCATAACCCTAAGGCAAGGTACTCAGTTCTTAGAAACCTACACCTGCCTGGATTTCTGACACCCTCAAATTCCATAGTCTCACTGTCTCAGACCTGAGCCACATGCTCTGAGCACCTTACCCTCAGGACCACTGGTGCCTTTAGCCTGGGGGTCAGTGTCCTTGGGCTCGTGGATCTTCAGAGAAAACGGTATCTGAAAATTTGAGTCCTTCCTCCAGCTGATTCCTCAACCATTGGGGCCCTAAGCTTTCAGGGCCCGAGGTCCTAAGAAGTTTACCATGTTCTTGGCAACCAGGATCTCTGGTCTTCTCATGTCAGTGTTGAGATGGAAGGTCCTATGTAGCCTGACTGCTGGTGCCAAGATCTTTCCTCTTCCGTGCCCCAGGGCCCCTGGGCACTCCCCACCCCTCAGTTGGGCAGTTCCTATGTATGGAGGAGCTGGGACTCTGAGAAAGGTCCCAAGCTCTGCCTTAAGAAGGCTTTGCTCTCAAAGTCCTCAAAATTAGAGGTCTCGCAGTGTAAGTCCCCATAAGCCATTTCTCTGCCAAAGCCGCTGGATACCTCAGATGTTGCAGCTAGGCCCCTGGTATCCTCAGATCCAGGACAGAAGTGATCTTGCATCTCTAGCTCCTTCTGGCCTGGGTGACATCCTCCCCACCATGCTCCCTGGAGCCTGGCTTCTCCACTGGGACCTTTGGTGGGAGGTCACAGGCTCCTCGCCCTACAGATGAGGCTGCATTAGCACCCTCCCATCCTCACCGCCACTGGTGCCCAGTCCTGCCTTCCCCGTTGGGGCTGTCAGACCTCTACCCGGGGCCCTGCCCCCTCTGCAGGTGTTGCGAAGCTGCCTTCACCTGTGCACTGGCCTTCTCTCCTCTCCAGGAGGTGCAGAAGGGGCTCCAGGACAGGGGCCACAACCAGACCATGAGGCCCTTTTTCCTGAACGTGGTCCAGGCCGTGTCCCAGGACGGGGCCTGTGTGTATGCCGCAGCGGACCCAAGGAAAGGCGGGGAGGCCTCGGGCTACTGAGGAGACTGCTTCTGGCAGCTGCGATCCGGCCCACCGTCAGTGTGTGCTCAGGCTGGCCTTGGCTGTGGGACCCAGCACCCAAGCAAGATCTGGACCCTTCAGCGGAGGGTCAGCCTGGGCTGCAAGAGGTGGGGACAGGCTGGACGATGGACGACTGTGGGGACTGAGCCCTCCCCAGAGTCTCATGTGGCCCTGCCCTGGCCCCCCAAGCTTCCCCTGGACCTCTTACTCAGGACCGTGGCCCACTCTCCCTCCCCACCTACCCCACTCCCCATCTGTATACCCTCTAGTCCAAGATTAAAGAGGAGGGTGGACCTCGGCATGATTTGGGGTGTAGGTTTGGGAAGGGACCCTTAGCACACACACAGCTCTTACAGTCCTTCACCACACACCACCGTGAAGGTGTGGAAACCGAGGCCTAGAGACTGGCTGGCCCTGCCCAGGACACCGCTGCTGGGCCTCTGCAGTGTGCCTGCCTGGGGCCTATCAGTGGGAAGACAGGGCTGTGGCCTGGGGGCGTCTGCCCCCCAGGCTTGCCAGGCCTTAGGACCATCTCTGGATCTTGTCCCGTGTGCCAGGAAAAGGCTGGATGAAGTAGAACTTGGGACCCCACCTCAGCCCCCAGCCCCATCCATTGGCCCCATTCTCACCCTCGGCACTGTTGACATTTTTGGCGAAATAGTCTTTGTCGGGGGGGCTGTCCCCACATTGTGGGATGTTGAGCAGCATCCCTGGCTTTTGCTCGCTAAACTCAGCAGCACCCGCTACCACCACCACTGGCCAAATCATCCCCAGTTAAGAACTGCTGTTCTGGACCCATTAGCCCCCCACTGCTGAGAAGGGCTTTGCCAGCTGCTGGGTGGGCTGCCTGTCCTGGGGGGGCCTCGCTGGACTGACCTGGGGGGGTCTTACCCCACACCGGTTCCTGGGAGCACTTGAGTGTCGCCCAAATATCCCTCAGGGGCATACCTCCACCTGGCAGGTTCTGGGGATCAGCTCTACCGCTGAGCCACGGCCTCCCACCCTGCTCTGGAGTTTGGCCAAGCAGGGCAGGAGTAGGTACAGTTTCCATGGCTGCTGAGATAAAATACCACGAAGTGCCTTCCAACTACAGAAATCTATGCTCCCATAGGCTAGGAGTCTGAAATCAGATGATGGGGCCGAAAGCAAGGGGAAGCCAGGGACGAGTTCCCTCAGGGGACTCTCAGGAGAACCCTTCCCACCTCTGCCCACTTCTGGTAGCTGCTGGTGTCCCTTGGTGGCCACATCACTCTAGGTGCTCCATCTGTGGGGAGGTCATGTGGCCTTCTACTCTTTATGTGTGGAAGTCTCCCTCTGCTTTGGGCAGGGCTGGGTGGAGAAGGCACCCTCGGGAAGTGTGTAAAGACACTTGTGGGCATATAGGGCCCATCCAGATACTCCAGGATGCTCTCTTGTCTCAAGATCCTTAACTCAGTCACAAAGGCACTTTTGCCATATAATGTGCTAGGGATCGGGATGGGGACTGTTGGTTGACCACAAACGGGGAGAGAGGGCTGGATGGGGCAAGTCTCTGATCTGAGCCTGACTGGGAGGACAGAGGGGGGTATTCTGGCAGACTCTAAGAGAAAGGACCTCGGGGCCGTTCACTGCTGCACCCAGGCAGCCTGGGGGCCGCAACTCCTCCTAGAGTCTGACTTTGGGAGGGAGTGGGAAGAAGGCTTTAGGGAAGGGCGGCTATGGCTCAGGAGTCAGGGGTGCAGAAAAAGTGGGCTCAGACAAGCAGGAGTGAGGCCGTTTCTGACCTAGTGGGATCCAGAGGCTGGCCTTGGCCACCATCCTGGTGGCTCTACCACATCATTCACTGAACTTCACAGCCAGAAAGGATGACAGAACTTCTCTTCTCTATACTGCCTTTGAGGCTTAACAAAAGTCCTAGGCCCGGCTCTCACGGGCCCAATGGGTCTCTCCCTGAGGCTCAGTTACCACACATGAGTGATGGCTCCCCATCCCAGCTCTGTCTCAGGTTTCTGGGTCATCAGACCCCATACCCACACACCAGCCAGGGCCACAGGCACCTCGGACTCAACACACCAAACTGGAAGCCAGCTCTGAGGCAACCGGAAGCTCTCTGTTGTCTACCTCTCCCCCTCCAGTCACCCGGTTTCCTCTCTCCGACTGCGTGGCTCAGCCCTGCCTCCATTTCCTTATCCTTCTCCACCTCCTTGTTGCTGCCACTGCCTCGATCTGCTCCCCACTCAGACAGTGATGGGCTTTGGAAGATGCATACCTGATCTTGCCACGAGGCAGCATGGATTCCTCCTTGTTCCTGCTGCTCCTGGAGGAAGCCTGCTCTTCTCCCTCCCTGCTCCTCCCACCCTCAGGGACTTGCCCAGCCCCTGCTCACATCCCACCCACCAGTAATGCCAGGTAGCCACCCCCTTCCCGGCCCATCAAGGGACTCTTACTGCTGGCTCTTTACACATCTTGTTACACAGGGGAAATCAAAACCAGGGTTGGGGTCCCTGGGTGGCTCGGTCGGCTAAGCGTCCGTCTCTTGATTTTGGCTCAGGTCGTGATCTCACAGTTTCGTGAGTTCAACCCTACGGGGGCTCTTCTCTGCCAGCACAGAGTCTGCTTGGGATTCTCCCTCTCTCTCTGCCCCTCCCCTGCTCACGCTTTCTCTGTCTCTCTCAAAATAAATAAATAAACATTAAAAAAAAAAAACAAAAAACCAGGGCTGCAGTATCTTCAAAATAACATTGGCAGAGTACAGATGAGCCCCTAGAGCCTATAGCTAATGCAGGATCAAAGGAAAATTCATTGCCTTAAACAGTTGCATTAATAATAAGAATCAAAATGAATAAAGCATTTAAGTGAAATTTAGTGCAGGAACAATCAGAACAATCAGGAAAGCAAGAGGAGAGGTTCAGTAACAACTGAAGGAGAGACTGATAAATTTGAAATCAGAAAAACAGGTCAGAAATGTTATTCAACTGCCTACAGTATAAATGAAAGAAGTGTGAATACACAAAAGAAGAAATGACAATGGGGAAATTAGCTAAGATATAGAGACAGTTAAAAGTATAAAAAACCTGGGGCGCCTGGGTGGGCCAGTCAGTTAAGCATCTGCCTTTGGCTCAGATCATGATCTTGTGGTTTGTGAGTTCAAGCCCTGAGTCAGGCTCTATGCTGACAGCTCAGAGCCTGGAGCCTGTTTCAGATTCTTGTCTCCCTCTCTCTGCCCCTCCTCAGCTCGTGCTCTGTCTCTCTCTAAAACATAAATAAACATTAAGACATTTTTTTAAAAAAGTATAAAAGATCACTCACCTTCATCCAAATAAAGCTGGCAACTTTGATAAAATAATGTCCTTACTTTCTAGGACAACGTAAGTAGGGTTGCCATATGTGGGACATACTCATACTGAAAATATTGTTGCTTATCTGAAATTCAGATTTAATTGAACCTCCTATACTTTTATCTGCTAAATCTGGCAACCTTAAACATAAATGACAAACAGATCCAAGAAGGGGCAAAGATCTAGATGTGTCAATGATCATTGAAAAAATTAAGAACATTGCAGGAACACTAGCCTACCTCAAACACCCTTCTAGAAACTTCCTCAGGTGAAGTGTGTCCTGCCACTAAGGCCGGAGACCTGTCCTGCCAGTTAAGCTTCCACAATGAGGAGCAAGAAGGAAAATGTCCACATTCACTTTATGATGCCAGCAAAGCACTGACCCCTAAACCTGCCAAAGCAAGCCACAGGCCAATTGTGTTTATGAAACTCAATCCCAAGTTCCTAAAGAAAGTATTAGCAAGGAGAATCTAGCAACACATTAAAGCAATAACGTGTCCTGCCTATCTCAGTGGTGTCGACACCAGCACAGCCAGGAAGGTCTTCTCTTGGTGTGAGTGTTACTCTTACCTCTTATCTTTCACCCAGGGAGAAAAGTCACAGGCTTATTTATCTCCATAGAGACTGAAGGAGCATTGGACAAAATTCAACACCCATTCTTGATTTAAAAAAGACAAAGCGCTCCTGGGTGGCTCAGTGGTTAAGTGTCCAACTTCAGTCAGGTCATGATCTTGTGGTCTGTGAGTTCAAACCCCATGTTGGGCTCTATGCTGGCAGCTCAGAGCCTGCTTTGGTTTCTGTGTGTCCCTCTCGGCCCCTCCCCTGCTTGTGCTCTGTCTCTCTCTCTCTCAAAAATAAACATTAGAAATCAATTTTAAAAATTAAGTAAACAAATCCACCAAATTTTAAAACAAATTATAAGCATACAGCTGTTAAACATGCAACTGTTAAGCATATGCTGTTAAAGCAGCATGTGAATAAAGCTAAGAAATCAACCACAATACAAACTCCACAGAGAGATGTAAATAAATACGGAAATCTTGTCTCTAGCAGACAAGGAGCATTTCAAAGCAGTAAGAAAAAGATTATTAGCCATACCTATCTGACCAAATGGGTAGCCATCTAGGCAAATAATGAAGGGGGACCCCTGCCTTTTTATTTACATCAAAATAAATTCCAGTCAGATCAAGATTTAAGAGTAAAACCATATAAATATAAAACAAAATACAAAAACGAAAACAAAGAAAACCACAGGGGCGCCTGAGTGACTCAGTCGGCTAGGTGTCTGACTTTGGCCCGGGTCATGATCTCGCAGTTCGTGGGTTCGAGGCCCACTTTGGGCTCTGTGCTGACAGCTCAGAGCCTGGAACCTGCTTCCGATTCTGTGTTTCCCTCTCTCTCTCTCTCTCTGCCCCTCCCCTGGTATTCTCTGTCTCTCTCTATCTCTCAAGAATAAATAAACATTAAAAAAAAAATTTTTTTTTAACACAAAGAATACAGGGAAATTTATTTATACTCTTAGAGTGGGGAAAGCCTTTTCAGGCATGGCATAAAATCAAGAAGTTGTGAAAGAAAACAAAAAACAAAAAAAAAGATACATTTGAACACAGAAAAAGTAAAAATTTTGATGTGGAAAACATCTTAAAAGACCAACGGACAGTTGCAACACACGAATGGATCTAAAGAGTATAGTGCCAAACAAAATAAGTCAGAGAAAGACAAATGCCATATGATTTCTCCCATGTGAGGAATTTAAGAAGCAAAACAAATGAACAACGGAAAAAAAAAAGAGACAAACCAAAAAACAGACTCTTAACTCTAGAGAACAAAAGAGGTGGTTAGCAGAAGGGAGGTAGGTGGAGGGGTGGAGGAACTAGGTGATGGCAGGAAGGAACGTGCTTATCGTGATGAGCACAGGGTGATGTATAGAATTGTTGCATCACTATATTGTACACCTGAAACTAATATAACACTCTATGTTAAATAC